TTCAAAACTGCCTTAGCTGTATTCCAAAGAGTCTGGTAAGTTGTGCTTTCATTTTTGATTCTAGGATTTTTTCTATAATATTTTATTCTTGCATGTTTCTGTGTTGGTGCCACATGTGGCACAAAAAAAGAGTTGGTTTCCTCTGGAGCTGCACTTCCGTGCGCTGTCTGATGTGGGAGTTAGAAACTCAGGGTCTCTAGGATGTAAGTACTTTTAACTTCTGAGCCATCTATTCAAATGTCAATTCTAGGAATCTTTAAATTTCATGCCTGATTCTTTTTTTTTCAATGATTCACTCATCATTCAAAAATGTACTGTACCATCTCCATGCATATATTTGTTTCTGCAGGTTTTTGTTTGTTTGCTATTAATTTCTGGTTTATTATATTCTTGTCTTGTATTAATTCTTTTGTATTTGTAAACGTGGTCTATTTTAGAGAAGGTTCCACGGGCTGCTGAACAGACTGTGTATTTTTGTTTTTTTTTTTAAAGATTTGTTTATTTATTACATATACAGTGTTCTGCCTACATACCAGAAGAGGGCACCAGATTGAATTGTAGACGGTTGTGAGCCACCATGTGGTTGCTAGGAATTGAACTCAGGACCTCTGGAAGAGCAGTCAGTGCTCTTAACCTCTGAGCCATCTCTCCAGACCCAGACTGTGTACTTTATATTTGTTGGATGGAATAATCTGTATATGTGTGATAAGTTCCTTGATTCATGTTATAGTTTAACTCTAAGGTTTGTTGATTTTTAGTTTATATGACCTATGAGCAAATAACAGCTAGATACTAAAATCACCCACTATTATTTTATCAGAACTTTTCTGACATTTTCTGTCTACTGGTATTTTGTTAAATGAAATTGGAAGCACCAGTGTTTTCACATATATGTAAACTTGAATATATAATTACTTTATCTTATTGATGAACTGTCCACTTTATATATAGTGGTCTTCTTTCTCTCTTCTGGCTAGTTTTAGTTTGAAGTCTGCTTTATCAGATATCAGAACATATGCATAAGTCTGTTTACAGCTTCTGTTTGCTTCACAGATTGTTTTCCAGCCTTTGACTCTCAATCTGCAGACATACTTATTAGTATGGTATTGTTACTTTTGACAAAAGAAAAGTTAGATTCATTTTTAAGTCAGTAAGATAGTCTGTATCTCTTCATTGGTAACTAAGACCATTCACATTTAAGGTTATTATTAAAAGACATTTGCTAATTCCTGTAGTTTTGCTGGCTGTTTTTTTGATTGGTTGGGTTACTGTTTGTTCTTTACTTTCTCTTCTGTTGGTATGAGGAGTTTGCTGGTTTATGTATTGAGTATAAAGGGTTCATTCCTAACTCTTGTTCATTGATTCATCTGGGTAAATTTATTCTTTCCTGTGCTCTCATGATGGAAGCTGTCTTCCTTCCTTTATTTATCTTCTACAATGCTGACTTGATGGTCATATGCCTATTAGACTGTGCTTGTCTTGAAAACTATTTCTATTTACCCGTCATTTTTACTTTTTAACTATTCTATTTTTAATTACGTGTATGTATGTGTGGCCATGTGTGGGTATTGTATTTACATGACAATGCCAGAAGAGGGTGTAAGAACCACTAGAAATGATTAGAACAGGCAGTTGTAATCCATCTGACATGGATGCTAGGAACCAAACCAACTAAGACCAAGATGTGCTCTTAACAACTAGGCTATCTCTCCATGACCTCTCCAATTTTAAAAGATAGCTTTGTTAAAAATAGCAATCTAGGTTGGTAGATACTCACTATCAGGACTTTCAATATATCATTATTTTCTTAGAGTTGCTGATCTAATGTTACTTTTGTAGGTAAAATAGCATTTCCCCCTAACAACTTCTAATATTGGTTCCTTACTTTGTATTTTTGACATCTTGATTAATATATCATGGTGAGGTATTGTGGTGATGTTTACTTAGGTAATTTTGTTTCAGTTTTATTTAACAGATTCTATATGACTTTAAGTGTTTGCCTCAGCTCCTTCTCCTATCCCAGAGATTCAGTTTTGGTCACTTCATCAGATCCCAAAACCCTTGACACTGTATTCATGCTCATTTTTCCCATATTTATATTAAAGTGAAGTATTCAATCAACCTTCTTGTCCATCCCTAACATTCTTTCTTATGCTTAATCAACTGTATTTGTGATATTAATGTGTTTGTGTTTCATTGAGTTTTGATTTTCTAGCATGTCTTTGGTTTGCTTTAACTTCACTTTCTTTACTGTATTTCTCTTCTGTGTTACTGACTTTTTCATCTACAGTGGTGACTTTTCTTTTTTATATTAAAATACTAATTTTTTAAGATTTTATTGTGGCATTTTTTAGGTTTTTTATTTTTATGTTAATTCAATAAAAATAATTGTTTTATTGAGTTATACGTTGTCTTCCCCACTATCCATACCTCTTCATCTCTCCCCTCTCCCCTTCCTCCCATGTACCTAGTTTCACTCAGGAGGTCTTGTTTGTTTTACCCCTTCCTAGGCAAATCCATGCATGTCTCTCTTAGGGTCCTTTTTGTTACCTAGGTTCTCTGGGATTATGGCCTGTAGGCTGGTTGTCCTTTCCTATCTATTCTACTGGCTCTTTTTTTGTTTGCTTGTTTGTTTGGGTTTTTTTTGTTGTTGTTGTTTTTCAAGATAGAGTTTCTCTGTATACCATTGGAGCCTGTCCTGGAACTAGACCTTCTAGACCAGGCTGGTCTCCAACTCACAAAGATCAACCTGCCTCTGCCTCTCCAGTGCTGGGATTAAAGGCATGTGCCGCCGCCGCCACCTGGCTCTGCTGGCTATTGTATGTTTCCAGGTCCTAGATTAAACTCATATGCTTATTTGTACTCTCTTTCATATCACTGGTCATTTTACCAGAACCTAATGCTCACAGCAGTCTGTAATTCCAGCTCCAGGGTATCCGACACCTTCTTCTGTAGTCCACAAGCACATACACAAACATGCATATAGATATATACACATACACATAAATAAAATAGTAAAAAATGAAACCTTTCTCTGAAACAGGAGAAAGTTGCCTCAATATAAATTAAGTCATTTTCCTCTACTCTTAGTTTATCTTAGACATGGAGAACCATCTCAATTACTTATCATAGATTGAGTATCACTAAGAAAACTACTGTTTTAACCAAACCCTTAATTCATGGGTAACTTGGACTAGATTTACTTCCAAAATGTCACTGTGATGGCTAATCTTCATTGTCAACCTGACTGGATTTAAGTCTGGGCATGTCTGTGAGTATGTGAGTAAGTTAGTTTCCAAACAGGTTTAACTGAGAAGGCACAGCCCAGTGTGAATAAAACTAATTAAATAACGACTTGATTTTTAAATCACATTTTTTTGGTAATGTTAGGGATCAAACACACAGCTTTGCTCATGTTATATAAACATTCTACCACTGAACTACATCCCCAGACATCAATCATAACTACTTCTTTGCTTTGTTTTGTTTTTTGTTTGTTTTACCATTTCTCCAGTCCAATAAATTGTTTTTTTTTTAACATTAATCCTTAGGGTTAGCATACAAGTAATGGGTTTCAACATGTCATCTTCATACCTATGTTTTCTCATTCACTACCCTCCTACTTCTCCAGCTGGTTTCTTCTCCCTCAATGACTCCTCTTTTCACCTTTCCTATTACATGTGTCAGTAACAGCATTTCCCACCTCCCTTAAAATCTCATCCTTCCCTCACGATACCCTTGCTAGGCACACACTCTTCTATGCGCACAACTAGGTTCTGCATAAAAAGGAAAAGCAAATAATAAATCTGAACAAAGAACAGTGACAGAACAGAATTTTACATCATTGTCTCTGCATATATTCTAAAAAGCCAAAAGTGAAGAAAACAAAAAAAGTGTCAGCAAGATTGCTCAGTAAGCACTTACCACACAAGCCTGCTAGAGTTCAATTCCCTGAACACACAGAGGAAGGAGAGAGAACCATCTCCAAAGTTGACCTCTGACCACCACAGTAGCACTATAGCATACAAGTCCTCACACATGTATACAGTAATAGTTTTGGGGTTTTTGGGGGGGGGGGGCGTGGTGTTGTTTGTTGGTTTGTTTCAAGACAAGGTCTCACTATGTTGTCTTGGCTGTCCTGAAACTCCTTCTGGAGGCCAGGCTGGCCTCAAACTCACAGAGATCCACCTGCCTCTGTCTCCCGAGTACTGGGATTAAAGTTGTGCATAACTACACCTGGCTTAATACTACTTTTTAAAATATTAAGCATTTTGAAAATTGTTACACAACTATTAAAATTCTCATGGCTTATATACCTTAAGTTCAGCCTGTTAGGTCAGAAATTAAAACCATTGTTTGATATTTTAATACCTTTGTTGAGGGAGGGAGTTGTAGCTGTAGATTGCCAAGCTTGGGTCTTACTCTATAGCCTATCATGGACTTGAAATCTACATAATTTAGGCTGGCCTTGAACTATCCTTCCTCAGCTACCCAAGTGCTGGGATTACACTTCACCAGCTCAAAACTATGTTCTTCAAACACAGGAAAGCTGAATGCGTTGCTTATATGACCTAGGATCATCTTAAGGGATAAAATTCCAAAAAGACACAAACTTCTTTATTAAAAGCGAAAACTGTAGCCAAGATTTAACATATCAATGTTCTCAGCCAAGCATGGTTGTCTACACCCTTAATTCCATCACTAAGGAGGCAGAGGCAAGGGATCTCTGAGTTTGAGGATAGCCTGATCTACAGAATGAGTTCCAGGACTGGCAGGGATAAACAAAGAGACCCTGTCTCAAAAGTAAGATAAAATCCATGTTCTCTACTACATTTTTTCAAAAGTCAAAAAAATCAGTCAGTCATGTGCATTACTGGCCATTTCACAGGAACATGTACACTATAAAATCTGTTTTGATATCCAGTTCAAACAGAATTAATATATTTGTAATACTGAGATTAATTATGTTAATTACAGATATATTACACATTTAAACCTACCCTTCAGGAGTCGTTTTAATTTTGCACAATCCACATTAATATACTGTAACAATTCTATATCATGGACATCAACATTGTCTTCTGAACAAACAGTCAACTCCTGTAACCTGAAAGGCAAAAGTCAAAAATAATTTATTAATTCAAGTCTTAGAACAGTCCAAGATTCTGATTCAACAGAAGAGGGGCTTATGAATGAAGACATATAAAATAAGAACATGCTTATTTTAAAAAACAAACAATACAAGCAATTTAAGGAACATGACAAAAAATGATAATTTCAGTAAACTTGGAATCTATATATTTAAGACTGAGGTATGAATTCTATTTCTCACATTAGCCAAAGCTCTTTTGGAAAATTAGTTAGTTCCAAGATTGGAACACATTTTCCAATGTGTTAGGTCTCCCTGAAACTGAAGACAAGGAAATTAGCAACTACTATAGTCATGTCAAAAAAGCATACTGTTATACAATTGGAGTCTCCAATGATCAAAATTGGGACAATTTGAATATAAAATTTTCTTTTTTTAATTAATTTTTTATGGCGTGTGTGTGCTCTTGCATTAGAAATCAGAAAACAAACTGTGAGAACTAGTTCTCTCCTTCCACCATATAGGTTCCAGGATTGAACTCAGGTCATCAGGCTGGCAAAATGCACCTTCACATGCTGAACAATCTTACCGCCCCCTGCCCCAATATCATTCTAGAAGTGAAACACACAGTTTTTTTAAAAATGCAGCAATTACTGAGGGAAGAAACTCACAGGTAATCTTTTCCAAGTTTTAAAATCACCTCATTCTAAAAAGAAATAATGGTAGAACAAGCCTCTTTTTTGCACTGCCTATTTAGATCATATTACAAAAAAATTAGTATAAATAACCAAGGAAAACCATTTTACAAGAATCACAATTTCAGCCAGGCACAGTGAGCATCTCATGCCCATCATCCAAGTACTCAGGAAACTGAAACAGGAGTTATGACTATGATTTGGGCTACAGCGTAAAACCTTTTCTTGGGAGGGAAGGATGAAGCAAGGGACTGAGGGACAGAGGGCAAAGAGGGAAAAGAAAATAAAGAGAAAGCATAATTTAATGCAAAGAGCCCAGAGTTTAATTCTCACAATCACAAAACCAATAAATAAATACAGTAAGTTCAATTTAAAAATAAAGAGTGACAGAGCCAAGCCGGATGTGGGAGCACACCCTTATCTCTACACTCTAGAGGCAGACAGGCAGTCTCTACAAGCTCCAGGCCAGCCACAGCTGCACAGTGAGACCCTGCTCAAAAAAAGCTCTAAGTCCCACCCCCAAAAAGTAGGAGGTTTATCATTTGCAGTTTCCAGTTAATAATGGATCCAAGAATTATCAGTTAAGTAAAAGTTTTATGGTAAATGTTGGATAATGTGGAGAATATCTGTGTCTGACAACTGATTATTCTAAATAGGAGACATGTCCCTGACAGAAAAAAAAATTACCAAATTAAGTATTATGGTCAACTATAAAGAAATTCTGCAAAGAAACTAACTAATCTTCTACATAAGAAAGTATATTGGGGACTGGAGAGATAGCTCTGTGGTTAAGAACACTTGCTGCTCTTCTAGAGAATTCAAGTTCTGTTCCTAGCATCCACATGGTAGCTCACAACCACTTGTAAACCCAACTTCAGGGAAACCAACACCATCTTCTGGGCTCCACAACCATTGACACACAAGACACACATAAACAGATACACATAAAACAAAATAAAAATAAATTATTTTTAAAGAATCTATTAAGTGTAGAACACAGACCCTTTAGCTAAATAAAGCTTTGCTATAAATTTTCAATTAATAAAACAGAAAACTAAACAAGCTGTGTTTGTTGGTATAGGTCTGTAATCACAGCTATGGAAAAAGCTAAGGGAGAACAATGTCAAGTTCAAGACTAGCCTGAGCTACAAAATGAGTCGGAGGCCAGCCTGAACTGGTGAAGCCCTTTCCCAAAATAGCAAACTACTGCAGCTGTAGCTGAGTGATGAAGCAGCTAAAACCCTGGGTTCAATCTCCAATACTGCCATCTCCCCGCCCCCATAAAGAAGAACACTGTGGACTAGGAGACTGGTAAAGCTCAACTTATGTTCATGATGCTCACTATAAATGAAATATAAACCTCACCCTTCACAGCTACTCTTCAAGTAAATTGCATAGTTTGGTCACCTAGCTATAACATCATGAGATGCCCTCATCTAAACTAAGCCATCACAGTGCTCTATTTGGTGAGGGGTCCTCTAAGAAGACCAGCTCCTATTTCTACTGCTAAATGAAAACACATATATCATAGCTATATGAAACACATTTATTTCATAGATACCATTTCTGGCTAATCTGTCCTCAACACCAATGAAACTCTAGATAGAATTTCTATTCTGGCAATGAACAATGAACTAGACTTGGAGAATCAACAAAAATTGTCTATACATGAACTAATGAAAGAAGCCTTGAGTGACTTTAGGGTTTTCAAAGATGGCACATTTGCTCTATTTTATAGAACAATATACTTACTTAAAAACTTCGTGGAGGCCAAGTGGTGATGGCACATGCCTTTAACCCCAGCACTTGGGGGGCAGAGGCAGGTGGATCAATGTGACTTTGAGGCCAACATGGTCTACAGAGTGAGTTCTAGAACAGCTAGGGCTAATACACAGAGAACCTGTCTCAAAAAAAGAAAAAACACTTCATGGAAATATTGTTCTGTCATTAACAATTCTACATAGATAGACTAAGAAACTGTATTTTTCATTATTGTTTTCTATCTTCATTTTTTTTCAAATTGTAAAGCTAATCTAGCAGTAGCCTAATTGAAAGAGTTTTTACTTTCTATAACTTTCCAGCATCCTATTTCCCTGTTTGTAACCTTGCTGACTCCATTATCAGCATATAGCAACTCAGAATATAAAAATGTACTTACTCAAAAAACTTCATGGAAATGTTGTTTTGTCACATAAACAATAACCAATAATATATCATTAAACAAAATTCTAATTTCCTTTTAATAGTCTGCTAAGATTGCAGAATACAGAATATTGTCACCTACCATCATGATTATAGAATGTTTTTTATTAAAAAGATTGCAAATCAGTTCTTCAACACTGGACCAAAAATTCTCAAATTTTGATGCAAGAGTGAACACAATAGAAGCTCTTGTTGGTAACACTAGCAAGTCAACGGTAATGGAAACAAAGCATCAAAAGCATTGTTTTCTCTGCTTGTATTTGTCTTTTAGTCACTAAATCTCTAAGTAGGCTGTGTTATACCTTTTATTTGATTATAACTAAGAACCCATTTGACAGTACTTGTACAAGACAGGCAAATCATTTTCATAAAAGCAAGTTAGTTACTTTATAATTCATCCCATTGAACACCATTCTAGACTAATTTCCCCATCTATAATATCACAACTATAACTGATTTATCAGGAAAGATTTAGTCTATAATTTTATGTCATTTTTTCCTATAATTAATTTTTAAGTTCACTGTATGTGTGCCATGGTGTGAGTGTAAAGGTCAGAGGACTACAGTGTGGTGTTGGTTCTTTCCCACTTTTGGGTTCCAGGGATAGAATCCATCTCCAAGAGGCTTGCTCAACAAGAGCCTTTACCTACACCAAGTGAATTCTCCAACCCAACACATTTTTTTCTTTTGTTTTACTTCAATCATGGTATTTAAAGTTTGTTTTTATTTTATGCACATGGGTACCTGCATGTATGTATATACACCACATGTGTAGGTGGTGTCTCGAGAGGGTGTAGACAGTTGGGAGCCAACCATGGGGGTACCGGGAAACACAGGTTCTCTGCAAGAGTACCACATATTCTTAACCACTAAGCCATCTCTTCTGCCCCTGACACTTTTTAAAGCACTAAATTAAGTATATAGTATTTTAAAATGTCACAAAATACAGTTAAAATGGAAATATTGAAAATAACTGATATACTGAAACTAATGTAATCCTGAGGTCTATCTGGCTTAGAAACTTGGGTCTTCCATTATTTGACCCAATTCCTTAACTTTTTTATTTGTAAGTAGGAGATTTTTGTTTTGTGTTTTAAGACAAAGTTTCACTGTGTAGCCCTGGCTGGCTTTGAACTCACTATGTAAAGGCTGGCCTTGAACTCATTGAGGATCCTCCTGCCTCTGCCTCCCAAGTGCTGGAATTTTAAAGTTGTGAGCTACCACTCCAGCAAAATACCTTAACTTTAAGTAGTATTAATCTTTCCACATCATTGTGAAAATAAAAGCAAAATAGCATATACTGTGAATAGTCAATAAATGGGACTGTTTCATATACACTTAAATTCTATTTTGCAATTACTTCCTTTATTTCTATATTGTCTAGATTGTTTTTAAAGTAACTTGGGATGTTACGATTGCGTAGCCATGAGAATTAGATCATTAGAATCCTCATTATACTTCTCAGCTATTCTACCTAATTTCTATATAAATAAATGTTTAAAACGACAAACCAGAGCTGGGGATGTAACTCTCAATCAATCCTCAGCACTACAAGAAGGAAAGAGAAAGGGCCTGGTCATGGGCAGCATCCTCTCCAAGTTTGTAATGGTACTCATAACCACACATCACTATTTCCAACATAATTTTCAAAAGAATGTAATTAAAATGTCAAGGAAATTAATACATAAAATTCCTACAAAAGCCCAGATAAAAGTCATTGTATTAACTATTTTTATGCAAACAAGATTTCTAAAATTTATTTTACTTAATAGCCCCACATGATTGATACACTAACCTGGTAGAAATGCGACTAAAGACTGCATTGAAGTTGTTGCAGCTGAGAGAAAATAAAACCCCAGAAGCAGAATTCCGAAGTTCAGCCGCATGTTGGTTTCCTTCACGACAGGTGTGAAGAAAATGGCAGATTTCTGGCAGTAACTGTTTGACCAGCATTGTTTCATCTAATCTCATTGTGTCCTTTGGTTGCTAAAATGAAAATAATCACATAATTCTAAAATTTGAACTGTACTGCAAACATTCTCTGTTATTAAAGTTTCAAACATACAGAGAAGCTGAAATAGAAGGAACACCCACACAGCCATCACTTGAATTTAACACAACTGTTATCATTTCCTCACATATGCCACATCTACCTATCTAAAGCCAATAAAGAAGACATTACAATTGAAACCTAATCCTCCATCCAGCCTCACAGGCTCCCTCCATCCCTGTTTATCAGGTGATCCCCTCCCCTTTGGGAAAACTGCAGTTCCCTCTAAGTTCTCAATGGACTGCACTCTTATTCACAAGTAAGTACATTATATCATTTGTCTTTTAATATCCAAAGAAACTCCTAGGTAGAGATCACACTGGACTTTGTACAACCTTATGAAAACATATATTATGCAGTACAAATAATACTGAGTTAAATCACTTCTAAGTAAGTTATAAACATTATTGTATCTCAGCCCTTGTGTATGTCAGTTTATCTTAATGAAGATATTCTCCAACATAACTTCAACATTAATTACATACAAAAATAATACCATTCCATGTATCATCTAATACCCAAGCTATATTCTATGACATCAAAAATGTCTTTCATGGCTTTTTATTCAGCGAAGATCCAAAAATGATTCACAGATTACAACATGACTCTTCAGCTCTTTCAGTTTCTTTATTCTAGAGCAATTTCCCCACATACATTCCACATATATCATTTTTTACATTCCATTTGTCTTCTAGATTATTGATTATCTCCTAAATGGCCTAACTTACTAGCCAGACAAAGATCTAGGGATGTGACTCAGTGGTGCATGCACAAGGTCCTGAATACAGTCTCTTAACTCCAAAAGCAAAAAGAAAAAGAAAAAAAAGAAACCAAAAATAACTTCAAGAGCAAACCAAGGCAAGATAATACATATTTTATATTATACTAGGTATACCATGGAAATCCATCATCATTACAATTAGGTTATCTCCAAAGATTATTGGCATTCACTCTCCAAGATACATTACTTCTCCACTAAAAATGTTAATGGGACCAGGCTGTGGTGGCACACGCCTTTAATCCCAGCACTCGAGAGGCAGAGGCAGATGGATCTCTGTGAGTTTGAGGCCAACCTGGTTTACAGAGTGAATTCCAAGACAGCCAGGACTGTTTCACAGAGAAACCCTGTCTCAGAAAATAAACAAACAAATAAATAAATAAATCAGTTGATGAAGAAAAAGTTGTGGAAACTTAATGAGGCAATACACCATCTTACCCAAGCAATCATGGGTGTGCCTAATATATATACCAGAGATTACAAAGTACTAAGACCTCTGACAAGTTAAAAATGTCCAGCCTCCCAATTCCACCCTACTATATAATGATGTTTTAGTTCTTCTACTCCATTTTATAGGTTAAGAGAGAACAGCAAGATAAAGCAATTCCTATCACTTTAAGTGTAATATTTACAAATACTACCCAACAATTTTGGAATATGGCCAGAGATTAATAAAGTATTAGGGGCTGGAGAGATAGCTTGGTGGTTAAGGGCACTTGCTCTTGCAGAGGACCCTTGTTCAGTTGTCAGCACCCACATGGTGACTCACAACCATGTGTAACAATGGTCACAGAGGATCTGATACCCTCTTTTGACCTCCTCAGGCACCAGGCATGCACATGATACACATACATACATACATGCAGATAAAACATATATATATATAATAAATTTTAAAGGGTTGGAAATATTATGCAGAGCTGGCAATATGGCTCCATGAATAGAGGGGCTTATTGCACAAGCCTAGTAACCTCAGTTTAATTCCAAAACCCATGTAAAAGCAGAAGGAGAGAACCAACTGTCCAAAAGATGTCCTCTGACCTCCACTGGTGCACCATGGCATGCATGCATGCCCCCCAACACTAAGGATTTGGCTCAGTGGTTGGGAGCACATACTGTTCTTGCAAAGGACCTGAGCTCAGTTCCCAGCACCCATGCTGGATGGGTCACAACCACCTGTAACCCCAGCTTCAGGGAGAACCAAAGTCTCTGATATCTGAGTACACCTACACTCATGTGCAGAGAACCACATGCAAACACACACATAAGCATAATTAAAAATAAAAAATGAATTCTTTTAAAATACAAATAAATACTAGGTTTAAATTTTTTCTGGCCCACAGCCTTCCCTGAGAAGTTTATGAATGTGAAGTTTGGGGTTTTTTTACCCCACTAATTTCCTGCCTAATGCCTGCCACTTCTGAACATTCTTTCTCTTCTCAACCACACAGGCAGTCCTCATATTAAATCTCTTCCTTCTTGAAGTTAGAGAGATGGCTCAGTGGTTAGAGCATTTATTGCTCTTGCAGAGAACCTGAACTTGGCTCTCAGCATCCACATGATAGTTTACAGCCACCAGTAACTCCAATCAGAGAGCGCAGATGCCCTCTTCTGGCTCTGCAGGCACCAGAGTCCCACACATGGGGCACATACACACAAGCAAGCAAAGCAGCATTCATCTACATAAAGTATCTAAAAAATAACTTTTTACATCTCTTCCCCCTAGATTTACTGTAGAGAAGTCTAGTGTATAAATAAGAGAGAAGGTATGTTGAATAAAAGAAAATCTCTGGCTGAGCAGTGGTGGCACTCGTCTTTCAATCTCAGCACTTGAGAGGCAGAGGCATATGATCTCCACAAGTTGGAGGCCAGGCTGCTCTACAGAGGGAGTTCCAGGACAGTCAGGGCAGTTAACACAGAGAAACCCTGAATCAAAAAACAACAACAACAAAAACCAAACAAACAAACAAAAAGCAAACTTCTATATTCTGTGATGAATAAAAAAACATTAACTAACATATAAGGCAGACAATTTTAAAGAACAAATATTCATTTATGTATTTACATAAACACCTACCCATGTTTGGCAAAGAATTAAGGTTAGTGAGTAATATAAATACTTTATACAACAGAAAACATCTTGAAAAAGCTTAAATAGTTGTTATTTCAATTATCAAGAGTCAGCCTCTTGGAGACAACAGTATGGTACTAAGTGGCTCCACTACATACCTGTTACAAAAGCTCAGATTTACACAAGTGTTCTGGTAGTAGCTATTCCCAGAAGGAGAGATTCAAAAAAAGAAAAACAGGACAGATTCCATTTTCAAGGTCTGTACAAAGTTGAAACCATATTTGTGATAGAGGAAAATTAAGATTGCCCTTGGTCTTCTGAATCTCATTCTTCCAGTTGTACAATGCCACAAGGCTAGTAATATCTGAGAAGTTAATCGAATTAAATAGTGATTTTTTTTCATAAAAATCTTTTCTTAAAAAAATATTTGAGACAGAAATGGGGCTCAAACTTAACATTTTAAGTAAATTTAACTATCTATGTAATTTACCAAAGTTGATAAAATAATTTTTTCTAAATTCTGCGGTACCAAGTCAACTGTATTAACGAACTTTATATTTGTCTACCTTAGACAAAGACTCTTTGAGTGTCCTCAGGGTCCATACTGACCTTTTGGTTCTTCAGGTCCTTCTCAAGACTGAGCTCACAGAACTTGATTACTTTAGAATGAGTTTACTCACCCCGGCAAGACATTTTTCCAGTGTATCCAATATAATCAACTGAGAAAGATACAAATTTTTTTCAGCAGCTTCTCCAAATATCCGCTGAAAGAAAAATATATTCAGAGAGTTTAACATTCCACTACAAATTAGCACATATGAAATATAAAAGACTAAAGATCATCTGGCAGTAGTGGCACTCGCCTTTAATCTCAGCAGTGAATGGCAGGTGGATCTCTGTGAGTATAAGGTCATACGGATCTACAGAGCTAGTTCCAGGACAAGCCAGAGCAATACAGAGAACCCCTTTCTCAGGAGGAAAAAAAAACTACAAATCAAGAAAAACTATTAATGTTCCATTTTTTTCGTTCTAAATTCAATGATATTTAAGTCTATTATTTCTTACTTTACCCTAATACTCAAAAATAAATTCCTGATGAATAGAAATAAAGGCCTGCCATTAGCTCTGTAACAGTAAAACATGCTGCTTTATGTTTTTAGAACAACTATGACTTGACCAGTCATGGTGGGAAAATACTGGTAATTCCAGCACTATGGAAAGAATAGCAAGAGGATTAGAAGAAGATCAAGGTTAGTGCAAAGTATATAACAAGTTCAAGGACAGCCCAGGCTACATGATTTAAAAAAAAAAAAAACATAGAAGGAAGGGGATGAAGGGAGTGGGCTGATGGTAATGAATCAATGAGGATTTAAAAATAATTTATGAGTTAGAGGTCTGTACAGTCTTGCATTAAGCATTTAAGCTTCCTTCCTACTACAAAACAACTAATTTCTTAATTCTTATCAAACTAGAATGCTACTACATCAAAAACAGTGAATCTTAAGAATTCACTACTTTCGCCGAGTGGTGGAGTTGCACACCTTTAATCCCAGCACTCGGGAGGCAGAGGCAGGTGGATCTCTGTGAATTGGAGACCAGCCTGGTCTACAGAGTGAGTTCCAGGACAGCCTCCAAAGCCACAGAGAAACTCTGTCTCAAAAAAAAAAAAAAATTCACTACTATCAAATTGAACTCTGTATCATCTATCTACTTACTAACAAGAGACTATGACTTTCATAGTGTCATTTTTTCTTTTAAAATTTTTCTATATTTACCTGCCAGGCAGTGGTGGCACATGCCTTGAGTCCCAGCACTTGGGAGGCAGAGGCAGAGGAAGAAGCAGATGAATCTCTGTGAGTTCAAGATCAGCCTGGTCTACAGAGTGAGTTTCTAGGAGAGGTTCCAAGCTACACAGAGAAACCCTAACTTGGGGGGTGGGGGAGTGGTGTTCTATTTTTGCTGGTGGTGGTATCACATACCTTTAATCCCTCACTCAGGAAGCAGAGGCAGGCAGATCTCTGAATACAAGGGCAACCTGGTCTACAGAACAAATTCCAGGACAGCCAGAGCTACACAGAGAAACCCCGCCTCAAAAAGTTTTGTATTTAATTATTTTCTATTTTTTATTTTATTGTTATTGTGTGTGTGGTGCATATGCTAGTGTGAGTGTGGGTTCACCATGGTGCCCATGTGGAGGTCAAAGCATAGACAACTTTTGGGAGCGGGTTCTCACCTTCAACCAGTCTGTGAGCCAGCTATCTCACAAGCCCTATAACTTCTCAGTGAGTTCTAAATGAATACCAACACCACAACAGTTTTAAAATGATCCCAAATACAAAATACTGGGAATGCAGCCATATACTCATACATGAAAATTCTATTAGTGTGTTCCACATTGGACAAAAAGAGCTATAGCGAAATATTAAATGCATCATAAAAATAACTTTACCTTTTTATAAAAGGTCCTGTTTTTAGGGAGGGGGAATTTTTTAACAAAGAAAATAATCTATTGGACTGCTCATACCTCCAATTGATCAGTTCTGCAACTCTGATACTAACCATCTTTTTTTTGGGGTGGGGGAGGGGGGTTTCAAGACAGGGTTTCTCAGTATCGCTTTGGAGCCTGTCCTGAAACTTGGTCTGTAGACCAGGCTGGCCTCAACTCAGAGATCCACCTGCCTCTGCCTCCCGAGTACTGGGATTAAAGGCATGTGCCACCAAGGCCAGGTTAGTGGAGCCATTCTATATGAAGAGATACCTTACCCAGCCTAGACACAGGGGTGTGGAGGGTGGAGAGGTGCCTTGGTCCTGCCTCAACAAGATGATGGGAAAGACTTAGTAGATTTCCTAGGAGAGGCCTTACCCTCTGAGGAGCAGATGGGAGGAATGAGTGGGGGGAGCAGGAGGAGAAGGAAAAAATTAAAAAGAAAAAAGAAGGGGCTGGAGAGATGGCTCAGAGGTTAAGAGCACTGGCTGGTCTTCCAGAGGTCCTGAGTTCAATTCCCAGCAACCACATGGTGGCTCACAACCATCTGCAATTCAATCTGGTGCCCTCTTCTGGCGTGTAGACAGAACACTGTATATGTAATAAATACATAAATCTTTAAAAAATAAATAAATAAAAAATAAAAGAGAACAACATTTGAAAAAAAAAAAAAAAAGAAGGGTGTTGGTGGCTCACGCCTTTAATCCCAGCACTTGGAGGCACAGGCAGGAGGATCTCTGTTAGGCCAGCCTGATCTACAGAGCAAGTTCCAGGACAGGCTCCAAAACAATACAAGAAATCCTGTCTCAAAAAAACTAAAAAAAGAAAGAAAGAAGGAAGGAAGGAAGGAAGGAAGGAAGGAAGGAAGGAAGGAAGGAAGGAAGGAAGGAAGGAAAGAAGAAAACATATTAGAAAATTAAAAAAGGGTGTCCTTGCAAACAAATGTACTACATTGTCATATTCACTAGAGGAAATTTTACAACTTAAATGTTCAAAAGGAAGAGAATAATTAAATTGTAGCACATCAACTTGATAGATTAAAAGACTACTATGAAATGTTAATGTTAAAACTTTGTAAGTGCCGAAGTTTTTAGTAACAGTGATAAATAAAAAATTTGAAAATGCAAAAAAATTTTAATTCCACAATTTAGGGGTGAAGATCATAGTTTCTAGACCACATAATTTGGAAATGGGCAGCCAACAAATACATTCAAGAAAGCAGCTAACAAAAAGCATCTATCAGCTTCTATCAGATATTAACAGATTCTATCAGCTAGAGGTGTAGATTAGGAAGGAAGAGAAGAAAAGTGGGGGAAAGGAATCTATATTATGAACAGTTTACATACAATACAAAAGTCATATAAAAATTATAATTCCTGAAAAGTGAGATAAAGTAATAAGAAAGGCTTCAAACGGATAGATAAAAAGTCAAATTTTAAGTTACACTTGTGCTCACCATAAAATGAAATGACTCTCATCTTAAATCCTAAGAAAATATTTCCCATACTTTAAAACATGCTGCTCTAAACTTCCAAATCAGAACCAAAATAAAGCAAATTATCAAAAAAGCATAAATGTAGTAACTCAAATACTCACCATATTATTAACATTCTTCAAGATGGTAGTGAGGCCACTTATGACCAAAGAAAACTTGTATTTGGAAATGTTGATCAGACATTCCTTGTTATGCTCGGTGCTGACTTTGGTATGTGTATTTTGCTGTCCTGTTTTTATTGGAAGCTAAAAAGGAAAAATATTAAGATTTTACTCTTCAAAATTACTAAACAGACTTTTCAATGAAAAATTACATTTTAGGTTTGAAATCTTTATCAACCATGGCTACCAACTCTAGTTTACAACACAACATAGAATTTAGACCAAATCCTAAATGATCTGTCAATTTTAATTTTAGGTTCTCTTTTGGGAAATCATAAACCTCTATCTACAAGATCAAATCTATCCAGTGCTTTCCAAGAAGAACCCACAGAACCAGAGCTATGTCCTTGAAGCTACAAAGTATTTAAGAGACTGTCGGCAACAAATACACATAACCCTTTACTGTACACACTGAACTCAAACATGTAAAGAACTACAGATCAGCCGGGCAGTGGTGGTGCATGCATTTAATCCCAGCACTAAGCAGGCAGAGACAAGAGGATCTCTGAGTTTAAAGTCAGCCTGGTCTACAAAGTGAGTTCTGGGACTGGGCTATGCAGAGAAATCATATCTCAAAAATCAAAAACAAAAACCCTACAGACCAAGGAAATCTAAAGTCCAAACTTCTGGTCAATGGAGAACAGCAGCCAATTGTTCAGATATAACAAACTATAAAACTAGGAACAGAGTTAAAACTGACTCCAACTAAGATAACCAACCAGGGGCTGGAGAAACAACTCGGCAGTTAAGAACACTGGCTGCTCTTCCAGAAGACCCAGAATCTAGTACCAGCACCCACATGGCAACTTACAACCATCTGTAATTCCAGTTCCAGGGGAACTGATACTCTCACACAGACAGACAGACATGCAGGCAAAACACCAATGAACATAAAATTTAAAAAATTAATAAAATATAAAAAAAATTTTAAATATTAAAAAACAACCACTCCCAAAAAAAGTAACAAAGCAACCAAAAATTCATCTCACAGGAAAACAAATTCTTTGAAGGGCTCACATTTACACTGGCCTGCGGATGAGCTCAATTACATTGCATAGAAATGCATCTCTATTGACTCATAAGCATAATTCTGTACAAAAGTATCAGATCTCAAGTCACTGTTCATATCAGACCCTGCTAACGCTGACAGAGAACCAAGGAGGCTCCTCTGTGAAAACCATACCTGAAACTAACTAGCTCCTCTTGAAAGTGGTCCAAGTATAGATGAGAGAAACAAGTGATATGTCTAGGTTTTTATTAAGTCAGTAGACATGATTAATTTGACAGCAAAGAAATACCAAGTATAGAGGGGATGAGGTTAATATGTAAGAGGCAGTGTACAGAAGCTATCAGATTACATAAAGTTAACCATATGAATTGTGAAAGAAAAAACCCAAAAGCTCAGAAAAGAGAATTTCAGAAGTTGAAAATGGCAACAATACGTTTTACGCATCTCCTCAGCCCTTCACACAATCAGCAGAAAATCCAGAAAAGTAAAGCTGAAGCTCACAGGGATTCACAGACAAGTGAGAGAATGAGGTTCTCCCAAGTAAGTGTGTGCATGTGTGCATATACAAATAAGACTCCCTTAACACAACACTGGGATGGTACGAGTATATACACAAGCGGAGGCAGAAAGCCTGATGAATGTAACAAACAGATTTCCCCAAATAGCAGTCCATTCTCAACGAAAGCACAGCATTCCAATTCAGAAACAAAACAGAGATGTATACTACTGCATACAGCAGGCCTATGGTCAAGTATGAAGAACTGTGGTACATCCTAAATTGACACTAACAGAATTTTTTGCAATGATATTCTGTATCAGCAATGACCAGCACCTTGGCCACTAGCCAGCTCTATGTGGCTACTGTAAACATCTGTAACATAGTTATTTATTAGCACATATGAGGAATCAAATGTTTGATTTTATTTAAGTTTAACTTTAACTTTAAGTAGCTATATATGATGCAGCTATCAAATCCCACTAGGCAATTAAAGTTCTAAACCATGCAATTGAAGAATCAGTTATTCCAAGAAGCAGCCTATAATGAGAAGAAAATGTCGAAATTAAACTCTCAATTAACCATAGGGGAAAAGTAGGCAAATGAAGTGGGATTATATAAAGTAAGAAAAAGGATGGCAGCCAAAAGAACTCCGAAGAAATGAAATCACCTTATTTTCTCCGTTTTATTAAATTAACTTCACCTTGTGGGTTGTGGGAATCCAATTCAGGTCATCTGCTTTGGTGGCAAGCACCTTAGCTACTCAGTCACCTTACCAGCCCCTTACATCTTTTTATTTTCCTCCTTACCATGCTCAGGCTTGAACACCCTGTCCTGTGTTATACTGCTTCCCCATGTACACATGTTCCTCAACCCACTCAAACTCTGTGCTAATACACCCCACCTCCCATACAGAAGAGTCACACAGCCCACCACTCTTTTCTGGACCCACTCAGGTACTGATCCCCATTTAGAGATATCTTTCTTATAAACTCCATCCTTTTCGAGTGGGGCTTTGTTATCCTATGGCCTCCGCTCCCCTTCCTCCCTGGTTGAATCACTGCTGGCCTCCCTCTGCAGAGTAGTCTCTCCTTGAATCACTCATTCTCCAACTCTGAGCCTGCCAGTGTTGGCAACTCTCTTACTGCCGTATGCTGGTTTCCTCCACGGGAATGCCTTTTTCATCCTCATCAGATGCTTACCCAAATGAACACAGATGGCAACTTGCTCTGCTTTACCTGATGGGTTTATACTGAATGATTATACAGAGGGAGAGAAGGAAACAGAGGAGCCAGTATTTTCTGTGGAAATGGTATGACTGTAGTTTAGGTTGGTAAGAAACAGGTTCTAGTCAGGGTGGTAGATTATCTGAAAAATCTAGAAACAACATTTGGGAATTGGCGTTGGAGCTTCAATAGTGGTTGGGTATAAATAGGCTCACTTGTGTGTGAATTGAGTATAAATAGGTTCTTTAAGAATCAAGGTTTCTTGCTGAACGAGGTTAATCCCAGCACTCAGGAGGCAGAGGCAGATGGATCTCTGTGAGATCAAGGTCAGCTTGGTCTATAAAGTGAGTTTTGGGACAGACAGGGCTACCCAAAAAAACCCTCTCTCAAAAAGAGGGAGGGAGGGAGAGAAGAAGAGAGGGAGGAAGAAAAGAGGGATGGAGGGAATCAAAGCTTCTGTGTATAAAAATTTTGGGTAGCTGTAAATTCAGAATAGCAGGAAAATTGAATAAACCAAAATTCAAGCAAGGGACAGTAAAGCTAGAATTCATTTTTTTTGCAAAATTAGTTTGGCTCCATGTTAATAACTTTGCCTACAGATGTCTTTATAGTACCTATATTGTTTTTAAATAATTATGTAACACTGTTGTATGAGCTCAATATTAAATTTCAGGTTTTTACCCCACTCTGCCCAACACTTAGTGATCATATACTATTAGCTTAGCCATATCCTGTACCATTTATTCCTGGATTAGCAATTTGCAGTTGGCTTATTTTTTTTATTTAACTTTGTTACAGGAATAATAACTTTGTTTGCAACTGTGAAAATAAAACTTCACAAATTTTAAGTTCATTAAGCACTATATAAAGCACTATTATTTATGTAATATGTAACCAAAGACACAGAATCCTCTGAGGGGATGTGTTTAATATAACCAGCTACAATATTCAGAGGTATACTTTAATTTTTAATGCATTAATAATTAATAACAATAATGTGTATGCCTGTGCAATGTCCTTGGAGGCCAGAAAATGAAGCCAGAGCCCCTGCGACTGGAGTTTAAATATGGTCATGAGCTGGGAACCAAACTAGATCCTCCAGAACAGCAGCCAGTGCTCTGAACCACAAGGCCTATTCTCCAGCCCAGAAAACACTTTCGTAATGTGTTTGTTTCCTGATATGTAAAGACGACTGTTGGGTGCTTTTCCTCCTTCTAGGATTATCTTCTTTGCTTTTGTCCTGATGTTCTAAGTGAAATATAATGTCACCCATACTTCCCATCAGAGTCTGAAAGGCCTTTTAGAAACTCATTAGAATGTACACAGAAGCAAACATTTTAGCCTGTGACCTTTTGAAGAATTTCTGAGTGAAACTAGAAACAAACTACCCATTGTTCACAGTGCTTTGCTTAATATTAGGCTTTCTTTTAAATAAATCCCTCTTTGTTAAGATCTCATATCTTAATTAGATCATAATTTGTTTTAAATAGAGATCATAATTCAAAGGGAATTATTTCTCTTCATGTAGTCTAACTCCTTTATATTCTATTATCCAAAGATGTCTATACATTCTATTATTTCCAGATATTTATAATATAGCATAAAAATTTTTTGAAGTTTAATTGATTTTCCCCAATTTTGAAAGTAGTAAGTGTTCACTGAAAACAAAGCTAAAAGAACAATTTTAAAAAGCTCTCAAATACAATGACCTTACCTTTTTAAAATTTATTTTGCTCAAAAAAAAAATTCCCTAGTGTCTTCTGTACCTCAGACTCAAACTCACTATTTCAGACAAGGATGACCTTGAACTTCTGATTCTCCTGCCTATACCTCCTAATTGCTAGAGTTATTAGCATGTACAATGAATGCTACAGATGTCATCTACAACTTCATGCATACTAAGGAAGTACTCTCTATCAGCTAAGCTATATCCCAGCATGTCTATATGATTCTTCTGAAAATACCATTAGCTAAATGATAAACTGTTAAATGCATATCACTCAGGCATCTTACGATCTCTATGGGAGCAAGAAAATTATCTTTCTCAGAAGCTATTTTATCCTTTGATTAAGAGGGGAATTTTTTAAGGCAATTATTTTTTGTTGAGTAAAAGAATAAACCATTTACATTACACTGACTTTTCCTACTGCCTTTAACAACTACCTTTTTATATCCCAGGGCAGTGTGCCTCAAACTGTGGTCCAAGAGCAACAGGCGGTCACTGCTAGTCTGCAGACTAAAGTACAGACAGTTCAGTGAATTCAGAGGGAAAGACTGAACAACCATTTCCTTTGCTTATATTTTAAAAACTGAACTATAAAATAACCTTTCCACCATAATCCTATGACTTCCT